GTAAATGAATGCAATATGACTCCATTAACCTCTTTCAACACTAGCCAAGTCACTTCTACTCAAACACAGAAACATTAGAGTGGACAGACCTCTTGCAAGCAGCAGGGACACCAGCAGGAGACGCAGCGGAAAGGCCTGATGAGACGAATGACCTCCCTATCCATGTTGTCCTTTATTTTCATGTCGAAGCTGCGCAGAGAGCCACAACAGTTCCTGGTGCAGCAGTCATTCTTCTCTTTGGCTTTGTAGATCTTTTGACCCAGACTGTTTTTGATTTCATACTGGTTGTTTGTCTCAAAACCAATGAATGCTGGGCGTGGTTGGGAAAAGAGAAGGGAAAACAGTGAGCAATGAAGTAAAGATAAGTAAGGAATTTCAAGGGCAGATATCATTTTTCTTCCATTTGTATTCATCTTGAGAGACTTTAAACCTCACACACAGCTGCCTATGAGCTGCTGAAGGATTAAATATTTTGTGTTCAACAAGATGCGCGCCTCACCTTCCAGGAGTTCGACTTTCTGATGGATCAGGATCTGGTCAATCTAAAACCGAAGGAGAGAAAGCAAACTGAAAAAGGCAACTCTGCGGCACATCCTGCAATCTGACAGTCTCTTCCTTCTAAAAACAATTAAAAGCACGTATGACCTCACATATTGTTTTAAAAAGGAAACTGACTTTAGTGTCACACATCCTAGTTGAGATTAATGATCACCAAAAAGTGCAGCAAACTGCAAGTATTTCAATGGTGAGCCAACAGAACTACAAAACGCACTTTTACCCACTACAGTCTTAAACATTTGACCTTTTCTCTCACTACTTGGCATGCAACAGAGCCAGGAACTGTGTCGGGTTACACACATGGCCAGCAGCTTTTCAGGTTCATACAAATTCCAAGTAAAATGGAAGGATTAATTGAGTCATCGGTCATTGTTAGAAAGTTTACTTAGAGTTCGTGACATTTAAGAAGACAGTGGAACCAATCGTAGCTCTCAAAAATCACCTGACTGCACTGACTTTTCTTTTTTTTTTTAATCTGCCTGTCAGCTTGGATATTGTAATACTAAACATACAATGTAATGCCTGATATAACACTAATTGGAACGAATAACTAGATAGATAAAAGAAAGACATGAACAAGTGGAGCCTACAGTGAATTTTCAGAGCTCATCTTGGAAAAGCAAAATATGTTTGGCACAAGAGTGCATTCAGATCATAATTGTGACTCCAAAAGCTGCTGAACAGGACAGCGTATAAAACAAGACAACAACAAAAACTGCTGGTTTAACCTTCCTCTGCCCTACCTGTGTGAGGTACTCGAGTCCAGGTGGGACTCCAACGGGGACTGCTGGACCTCCAGGAGGTGGTGAAATCCCCCCTGGTGGGCCACCGTATTCAGGGCCTGGAGCTGTCCCTATGGGTGCTGGCTGGTACATGACCGCAGGTTGTCCTGAATAGCCCATGTTGAAGCCCGGTGCAGGGGCTTGACTGGGATCTCCATATCCAGGAGGAACTGGATACGGTGCTCCGCCGGGTTGAGACATGGGATAGGGTGGCTGGTTTGGAGCACCTGGGTAAACTGGAAGGGGGAAAAATAGACACAATCAAAACCTGTTCAGATATACCGACAGTCTGATTTGACTGAATTTGAATTCATGAGCTCGGTTGTTGCTGTACAAACTATGACAGTCAAACTTTAGAAAGTAGAGCTCAATTTTTACCATAAAACAACCAAAAAAAAAAAAAAAAGGAAAATAAATCAAGCCGTAATGTGTAAGATAGGGCACAAAAAACTAAAAGAAACCATCAACTCTGAGTATGAATGATAATATAAATATACACACATAAAAAATGATATAAGACTCAAAAGCCTGAAGCTGCTGTTTAGGATTATAGACCAGCTGTGTTGACCACGGCTGGTCGTCTCCAGGTTCTTACCTTCCAGTCAGAGCAGAGACAGAAGCTGAGAGCAGTGACCGTCGAGTGTCTCGCTAGAAGCAGCTACTCTCTGCCGAGTGCGAGTGTGTGTGTGCGCACGCTGTGAATCATCCACCCTTTTTTTTTTTTTTTTAGTAGACAGGGCAGAGCTAATTGGCCGGTGATTGCAACACAACAGTAATGACCTACCTATACTGGAAAAACTGGATCCATGATATGGTGGAAACCAATTGTCAGTGTTTCCATGGTGGAAAAACTGAATATGTGATGTGAAAAGTGAGATTTGGGGATTTTTTTGGACAGGAACTGAAGATTCTTACATTAAGTGAGGATTTCAGTTAGGAAGAACGGACGCCGTCAGCACAGGGATATGTAACTTTGTCTCTCAGAGTGTTTGCATCTTATTTAAAGCAGCTGTTGCGTTAAATCAACAGAACCATAAGTGCACACTAGTCTCAAGAGGCTAGCAGCCAGCCTACTCTGTAGCTGCCCTGGAGAACGCCATGAGGGGCCATAAGACCCTACACAGGGCCAGTTGCACCTCTGTTGTGTGCTATGGGACTCACTTTCACAAGATTCATAACAATGACTAACTGGGAATTGCTTACTTTTATGAATGTTTAAAATGCTGTTATCAGATAAACTGCAAGGTCCACTGGAACACAGCTGTCCTTATGATCATATGTTATGCCAATAAAGTCAACTGAGTTGAAAGGTTTTGTAATGTCCTTGTTTATAATGCAAAAATGTGATCATTCTCACTTCATAACGACAACAACATTGGTCAAAATTATACAGCATTGACCGATCAGTCGTTGGTGTGTAAAAAGACCCATTTCCCCTTACTACTACAGTCATGCACACACGCACGCGTATCTCGTTCCATAGTACAGACCTCATTTAAGCCCCACTGTAAAATGTGAAATGTCAGAGATAATGGAAAATCAATGCCGAATTTTATTAACCACCTTCCCTTATCCTGCTTTCAAGAATAAAGGTTAAAAAAAATGTTAATAGTTTCACTATCATTGGACTGCTGCTGCCATTCAATTTGTTTTGTAACAGACAAGATTAAAGAAAAGAAATCTGGTGTGGTGGAGAGGCAGTGGTAGTGCAAGTCTAATGCATCGTGGTGGTCGTTTATACTTGTACTGAGGATGGTTTCCTTTAGCCCTGAGAACTGTGTGTAAGCCGGATTGACCTGAAACCCCAATATCACGATATTCTGGTGTTGCTTCCTTGCTCAGTTTTCCGGTCCCTATGAGGTGGACAAAAAGATAAGTGACACTAGCTATGCAGTAAAAACTCCTGATCGAAAGAGAAAACTGAGGGTTTGCCACGTTAACATGCTTAAACGCTATGTTTCCAGAGAGGACGCGGCAGCTGAAAAAACCTCTCCCATAGCGCCTGTCTCTGTGTGTTCAGCACCACCATTGTATGTTTTGCAAGATGATGACTTTATTGACAAGAGCAGTTGTATGCCTGTGGCCCATTTGCGAAACTGAGAAGTGTTAGAGGACGTAGAATCCTTTCTGTCGCATCTGTCAGATTCCGCCCGCAAAGATATCCTTGATCTGATTGAAGCTAATTTGCTGCTTTTCTCTGACCATCCTCGGCAGACGTCTGCGCTCTTTTATGATATCGTTGTGGAAGTTGATAAGCCAATAAAACAACATGCTTATAGAGTAAATCCAACCAAGCGGGTTTTAATGCAACAGGAAGTTGAATACCTGGTTAAACATGGGTTAGCTGAGCCCAGTAACAGTGCGTGGAGTTCGCCCTGTATTTTGGTGCCTAAACCAGATAACACCCCACGTTTCTGTACCGATTTCAGAAAGGTTAATGCAGTCACAAAACCTGATTCTTTTCCTCTCCCCAGAATGGAGAACTGCATTGATCGTGTCAGCTCAGCTACATACGTCACTAAATTAGACCTGTTAAAAGGGTATTGGCAAGTCCCGTTAACCCCCAGAGCTTCTGAAGTCTCCGCGTTTGTAACTCCAGATCATTTCTTCCAATACACTGTAATGCCCTTCGGGTTGCGAAACGCACCTGCAACATTTCAACGTCTGATGCAGAAGGTTTTGTTTGGAGTGAAAAACTGTGAGGCATACTTGGATGACATTGTCATTTACTCTCCAACGTGGTCGGAACATCTGGAAACGCTCTCTGACGTTTTTGTGAATCTTCTCTTACATTAAACCTCTCTAAGTGTGAGTTTGGTAAAGCCACCATTACTTACTTGGGGAAACAGGTCGGACAGGGGCAAGTGCGCTTTGTGGCTGCGAAAGTACAGGCCATTGTTGATTTTCCTGTCTCGCAGACAAAAAGTGTCACTATGTTGGTTAATGTAAGAGCATGTAGGGGTGGACCGCCTTTTTGTTTGATCAGTTTTCTCCTGTTTTTGTTAGGCAGGGAGGAAAGTGATTGTCGTTTGAGTTAGTTCTTTTGAGTAGGTAAGTTGTGTTTATTCCTGAGATAGGCTACTTTTTGTTTGTTGTTTTGGCCTTGGGTTCACCCTGAAGGTATGATATGCTCCCTTCCTTTGTTTAACTGCACTCATTGTAAATAAATCACTGTCACAAAGTATTAAGTGTGTGACGTGCTGCTTGGGGTTGGACGGGGATGGATCACCCTTTATGTTGTGGTCTGGCCACGCCTAGACGGGCCATAACAATGGTTATCAACTTCCTCTATTAAGCTGGGCTTTCTGCCTCCCTGTGAGTGTCTCCTACACCAATCAGAGACATTATCAAATGATGATGATAAATGGTGATAATAATAAAAACCTAATGGTGAAACTCACCACTGTTATAAACATAAAAGAGTTTAAAGCTGCAGAAACTTGTTGATTTTGCGATTTAGTAAACAGAGCAGTAAAAATTAACATTTTAATTTGAGAAAATTATTGAAACACTGCATGGAGCTCTTGTTTTTTCCCCCTAACACGACAGCTACACATTTAACTAATAATAAACATTAACATCCCATAAATTAATAAAAGACATGTGGATGCATGTAAAACAGACTTAGCAACACATTAGAATCTGATCTCAAATAATTTTTATACATTTTCTGACACTGCAAAGCTCAGTGTGAGCTGCTGTAACTTTACTGTTGCGCTTCATTCCCGATCTTGCCAAGATACGGCTTTACAAGCTGCTCGTGCAAAACATAGTAGCCAGCAGAGAATCTGTATCGCATTTACAACGTGCTGTAAATAAAAGAATCAGTAAAAACGTGCCACTTCCAGCCCATTTTAAACCACAACCGAACATATAACCTGCTTCTGACCAGGTTACGTGCACAGCAAAGGTTACTATGGTAATTTAAAGTTAATTTCAGCGGCTCCCTTATTGACAAAGGGTAGCTCCACATATTTCAGTGTGACAGATTTATTTTTTTACTACACCGGGAGATGTGTGTCTCCACCTGGGATCAAAGTGGGGCTCCTCGTGTATTAATGAGACACACAGAAAACTCATTTTAAGGTCAACACAGCTTTGTAATTTCGCTTTCCAGTGTTTGCAGTCTTTTCCAATATGGGTGTTTTCTGCTTAATTTAAATATAGAAATCTATATATAAATATAAATGACAAACTGACTTTGGTTAACAGCTCTAGTTTATGATGGGACCCCCAAAAAACAAAATTTACCTTTACCAGATATTCATTTGGGGAAAGCTGTGAACTGTCCAAGGAAGAAAAGAAAAAGGAAGCTGAAGACATTTTTACTCTTAGAGAAATTATTGTTTACTTAATGGCTCACTAAATATATAAATCTATATAGAAACTTCCTGTGTTTACTACACAGGAAGCATAAACCATAAAGTCACTGCCTTAACACAAATGACGTGACGAGCCTCCTGAGTCACACCTGCTGACAGACCGTCATGTGAAAGTATGTGTGCTGTGACGTTTTCTAACAGCAGCCGGGACATAATTAAGAAAGAATTTAGAAAGAGCAAATTTAGATCAGCTTATTTTTGCTGACGAGAGCCTCCACATGCCTGTTGGGTTTCTCTCTGAATGTTATATATGAGCTGCTTTTCTGCACTGTATGTTCTTTACAGATGTGCTTTTTGATGTGAATTGCAACGAGTATACTGGTAATGGAAAAAAAAAACTAAACAAAAAGGTCTATGCACATTTAAATGGAATGGCATGTCAATAAGGGGTTTTGGTCTCAAGACTGGCCAAACTGGTTTTTATTCACATCGTGCAATGGCAATGGCCTATGGTTTGTCCCCCCTAGTCTCATCTAGAAAATTTTACTTCCTCTTGTGAGTGAGCATGGACTTCTATGGAAGGGTGAAAATGCACCATGAGCTCAGCTAAGCAGATCCTCCCTCGGAGTGTCTCCACAGCACTACAAGCACAGGGCGGGGGCAGGGATGGAGAACCAGAAGCGAGAAACTACTCAGAAAAACATTCCTGAAATGATTCCTTCATCAAATTATTAATTAAATCCTGTCCAGAGAAAGACACTCAAAAACGAGGTGGACATGGCAGCTAGTACTCTGCCTGGGAAAGAGGAAGGATTCTGCCCGCCCCCCCATGTTTACTTAATATTATGACTAATATTGGTTTACATATTCACCTAACAAGCAAAAGATCTCTGGTTCAATCCCGGGAGGATCCTTCTAGTGAAGTGACGCCATCACTGATGCAGATTCTGTCCCTGCTCCATTTATGCTCCCCTCACTGCTTTACCACCTATGTGCAGGTCAGGCTCAGTCACCAGTGAGGAATACATGTAAACTATAAAATGATGTTTTCAATCAGTTTGTACTTGATATTTCCACTCAGCAGTAAGGATAAATACAAAGTTGACAACGTTTTGTGTTGTTTTCCCCCCTCCTGTCTCGGCATTAGAATTGTTGTCTGAAGGCCAAAAAATTCCAAAAAGATTTACTTTCATGAGTGGAGCACTACTTTCTTTTGAGTCGTTACAACCACAACGAACAAGACCGGGTGACTGGGAAAGCCCATTTAGTCACGAGTCTGCTTGCAAAGGCTGATGAATGTAATAAAGCCTTGTGGACTACAATTAAGACAGAAAACAACCTCTTGTGCCATTTGTGTGTAATGAAAGTTAAAAAAGGAAGTTAGACAGTGTGAAGCTAGAGGTCTGCCTTCGCTCAACATCGCTCTCTTTACTTCACATTAAAAAAAAACAAAAAAAAAACAGAAAAAGTGTGGGTGCATCCACTGCCCTGGCATACACAAACAATAGCACCTTTCACCTTTTCCACTCAGTGAGAGAAGTCTGCTGGGCCAAAGACTCTGACGTGTTTACAAAAAAGTATTCCTGGAATTTCTTGGGGAAGAAAAATAAAAACATCCCCCACCTTCAGGAGTCTACTGTGTGGGCTGGACAGTGTGCTCATTATTCAGGCTGTTGGGTTTAGTGGAAAGCTAACGGGGCAAGTGTGAGAAAACTTTTAGCATTTTACAAAGCGTGACGTAATGGAAACAAAGTGTTAAAGCTATTAAAGTATGCCACACCGCTCACGTTTTTAAAACACTCTTACGCCTTCATATTTTCGTCCAAAGAAAAAAATGAAAACAAAAGTCAGCATAAATGTGAAATCTAGGCACTTACCAGGAGCAGACATGGTGCAGAGCTTTTCTGGGCGGAGGAAGAAAAATAAGGTCACACTTCCCGACGCAATCCCACGGTTTCTATGGGAAACTG